ATGACATTTTAATGTCATGGTAGATATTATTTGTGGCACTTTCAAGCGCCATTAAAAAAAGAGTTAGTGACACTTGTAAGTGTCATTACACCATCAAGACTAAAACCTTTCAGTGACACTTTAATGTCATGGTAGGCACTATTCGTGACGCTATCAAGTGCCATTAAAGAAGACTTGCAGTCTAAAAAATGCCACGATATGGATTTTTAATGACGCTTATTATGCCACAATTGATATTTATAACACCTTCATAAATGCCACTAAATCCAATTCATTTGTGCCATTAAATAAATATAAGTGCCTTTGGAATTTATTTTAGTGACACTTTGCAAAGCTATTATCACTACTATAAAATGCCACTTATATATTTTTTTCATTGACACTTTTAAAAGCTACAATTATGCATGCGTAAATACCTATAAAAATTGAATCGATTTTATAAACAATTAAATATTAATTGCCACATCATATATTAATTTGACATCTATTCATCCTGTAATATTTTCATAATAATAAACAAATATTACCACCATAAGATCATCACATCAAAAATAAAAAAAATTCAAACCATAATCAATTATTTATTATTGAAATATAAATTTATTTATATTGCAAAAAAAAAAATCCCTTGCCAAAATTATTAAATATTCTACCACACTAACAAAGTTAAAGCAAAAACGTGCTAAAAAATAATTATTCCAACCATAAGTTCTGAAAAGCCATAGTGATATGCATATTCCGGAGAGAAAAATTATCAAAAATAAAATCAGTTCCCAAATTCTCAACCTCACTTGTATAAATATTCTCGGCTAGCATCCATAACTTGTGAAATCTGCATCCAAAAGATAAACATATGAAGGTAATTGAAACTATATTAAGTTAATATAAATTTGTTAATAAAATTAGTATTTACGAAAGAAATATACCACAAATGGAGCAGGCCAAGCAACATGAGCTCCAATAGCTTGTCCAATTGTTTTGACAAGTCCATATGATCGGATCAAGCTCTCATTAGGTTTGATTGGCACTTGAACATGTACCTCCCAATAGTCAGGTCCCAGTTCTTCCCATTCTACTTCTTTAGATGCGTCTGTGCTTTTAAGTACTCCGATTGCAACTGTTTCTGTTGGCCTAATGATACTTTTTAGAACAACAATATCTCCCACCTGTAAATCAAGATTTAACTACTTAAGTAATTGTATATTTAAAATTAAATTGCTAATATTAAAAAAAAAAAAAACTAGTACAAAGTGCTAGAGCGAAAATGATCATAACTGAAAGTGATATGGATTTCTCTAGTAGATAAGCAAGCCAAATGCTTTAATCACTTAATTGGTTGACTACACTACAACAAATTATATAAAAGTAACAACCGTAAATTTTTCGACCATATCAAACAATAGCTTAAAAAATCAATAACAACCAAAAGCACCAATCAACGACAATGAAAACCATGTCCATTATCAATATCAGGATCACCTAACCTCAACGATATAAATCAAATGTAATTGTGAAAAATGACAATCAACTAATTACTTTCAAGCAATATTTTGAGAGAATCAGAAATAGCCCATGCGGTAATAAATGATGGAAAGATGTCTTGTTAAAGATTCAAAAGAAAATTAAATTAATTTTTTAAAAAATAATAACACAAACTTCGTCATGTCATGATTTAGACTATGTAGCACATTTTGTCTAGATTTAAAAAATGAAATTTGTGTCCGCAATATTCATTCCTTGGTTAATTGTAAAATAAATGTTGCATGCTATTCTAAAATAAAGTTGGAAGTAATGTAATCTATATGATTAGCTCTTAGTAGGTACCTGAGTAAGAGAAGTATCTTGTATCGATGACAAAGACCATGCTTGATGTCGAGCTGCCATGTCGAGAGGAGTAGAAGTTGTTGTGGCCTAACCAAATTTGAACTATTTAATTTTACAAACACACACACATAGATATATGTATGCATATATAAGTGTAGGAAAACATTAATTAATTATAAATTCTATTAAAAAAATTACCTGATTAGATGTGTTTGTCAAGTTATTCGGAGCATGTTGAACATGGGAAACTTTGGATCTTAGCTCCGAATTTTCAGCTTCCATGACATCCATTGTTGTGTCATGCTTTATGACCAGATGTATCTCTCCATAAATTAGACGGGGAGACACCTAATCCATACATGCGAACTCGTCCATGTTTTTCTTTACCCATCACTTGTCCAAATGCGTCATTTGGGCCCTTATTTGATAAATTTGCATTTAAGGTTGTCCTCTCATTCATTTCATCCTATAAGTTTGCAATAAACATAACTTAATATATACATTTCAATCACTCAACACTATAATGTGGGAATTTTAACTAATTTACAAGTTCAAATGCACAGATAATTATTTGGTACATACTATCATTGCTTTCATTGCCTCAGGGGTTCCAGTCTCCTTTGTATAACATACTTTAAACATGTGAGCACGTGTTGGAGAGTGTCCCTACTTATTCTTCAACAAAATAATATTTTCCAAAATATAAATTATATCATTATGTTACATCATGCATACATTATCGTATTAAATATACAACATGAAAAGATGAATTAACCTGCTCGTTTCGAACACGTGGAAGACTTTTTGTTCCAGTAGTATGATTATACTGTTGCTCTGCACAACTTGCTTTGTTTTTGTCACTTTGTGCCTAAAATTACAAATGCACAAATTAATGGTGCCCAAACTGTAACAAGTAAAATAATATATAATGATCAGATCGAGTATACCTTCACTTCTTCGATGGCCCAATACTTAATAAGGTGTTCCCACTGATTAGCATATACTTTACTATCTTTATAATGGTTTTGTTGGTCAAAACTCAAGTGGTTTTTATAATAATTTTTCCTTATGTTTACCTTCTAGTCTTTTAACTTCTTACCAGAGCACTTCATAACCCAATTCCTAGCATGACTTGGAATATCAAACTTTGACTGAAAAGAGAGAGAGCGAGAGAGAGAGAGAGAGAGAAGAGTAAAATAATAGAAAATTAATCTTTCCACATAAAAAATTAAAAACAATTTTTTTTTTTTTTTGAGTGTTGTTTTAATCATGTTACTCATGTTCATTATTTTTCACATGTGATCTTTGCACAATATTGTGTCATTTACCTGTACAAGTGCCCATATGTGATCTTTGTAATGTTCTGGGACTTTATGCCAATTCTTGTAAGTGAGTGGTGCATTTTTCCCATCACGCACAATAGTTCCAATGAACGATGATAACTTTGTTGCCAATTTGTCATCAGGTTGGCCAAGTTTGTTCCAACATGACTATTAGGCGCTCATCATCACGAGTACCCCAAATATTACGCATTTGAGTGGGACCTCTAGTTTTCTTTTGTCCACTAGCACCATCTAGTTATAAAAAAAATAATAATAATAATACTAATAATAAATTATATACGAAGAAATAATAACATTTTTATAAGGTTTGAACTTGCATACCTGCATTATCATTGGGTTGACTAGAATTTGCCTGTATCTCAGATAGAGTTGACTCACTAAACTCACCAACATTGCCTGAGCGAAACTGAAGATATGGGTCCATAGGCTTTTTGCTTTATAGATGAATCCTAGTATGATTCAAGTAAAATAGACAAATCAAATTGTAAACTTAGAATGATCCAAATAATTTATCTGCAAATGAACAAAATACTTGAAGAAAATTAACAAAAAAAAAAATTGTGAATTCACCTTTATTGCGTTGCTATCTTGATAGTGACTAAATGTAACATATAGTGAATAAATATTTTGTAGCCACATATGAAAATCACATAGTAGAATTAAAAACGCATTATTCATTCTTCAAACAGTCAATTAAATTAACAAAAACAATGATAAAGAAAGAGAGCAAAATGAAACTATAAAATTGTTTTCAAATATAAATAACTAGCAATGTTGAACAAGTTTAACAGTCACATAAGATCTAATTCTTCCTTATCTCCATCATCATCTCCATCATCATGAACATCGTTGTCTCTCAAGACCTGAGAAAGTGGTGCATCTACAATTGCAGCAGACATGTCTGTCCTAACCAAATCAAAATTATTGTCCCCATCACCACTTTGTGTATTGCATACAGTTGTCACATCCCAAATTCGGGTATGACCGGCCGTGGCCCACAGGGACTTAGCCCAGGCACATGCAAGCCTATACATGAACCCAAAATCACAAAGAATAAACGTGATGTTAGCCCAGAAATAAATAAATCAAAACCCACCAGTGACAAGCCACAAGTATAAATGGTAAAACCAGCCATAACCAACTTCCAAAAATATTTACTAAATGGAACAAAATCGCCCATAAAATAAAATAATTCAAAATAAAATCCCACCACAATGTATGCACAAAACCAACATAACAAGCTAAAACAAAATAATGAATGTCCTAGAGGTTCATGCAATTGAGTCCCCGCTACGCCATGAGTCCACTCTAAGTCTTTTTAACACCTGGAAGTGATAAACAACTAAGTCAGTTGATAGCTCAGTGAGTTGCAACATGGATAGTAAATACAGTTTTGAAAACATGGTTCAATTTCAAAATAAGATATATATCACAAAAACTAGATTGACATACAGTTTGGTAAAGAGAATCTGTTTCAAAAAGAAGGTTTCACAGTTCAACAGTTAAAATACTCATGTCTCCCAAGAACATGATAAATGACATTTTACACTTAAAATAGATTACAACGTGAACACCAATAATTTTCTGGGTATCAAGAAATAACAAGTAACATGCCACATAGTTCTCAAGGCTATAAGCCCCGTTGGATCCAATACAGAACTAAGAGTCATCCTCAGGGTGGCAACCTGGGCCTTTTCTCTAAGGCGATCCGATTGAAGGTCACCTAGCCTAACCTAGGTCTTTTCCTTACAATCGTTGAGCACTAGAGTTATCACAACCCAACCCAGATCTGTTCCTTAGTGGCCAGAGTCACCACACATAGTGGAATAATTTCCCTAGACTAAAATATACAGATGGTCCTAATAATCAATACACATCAGTTTTGCAAAACATGGTAGTTCACCATTATAAACATGAGACCAAAACAAATAGTTTACAGTATGCCAAGTTCACACATGTTTCATAAATAATTTTATTACATTGATAATATAATAATTTATCAAAACAGTTTAGTCCTGAAACAACAATTTAATTTTCTAACAGTTTAGGGTAGGGGAACATTTATAAAAATATGTAGCATGAAACTATTCACCTGAAAATGGAACAATGTAATCCTCGAATAGAGTATAAAAGTCCAGCTAGTGCCTTGAATTAAGTATAAAAACTACACATCACTACTAATTTAAAAATATTAAAGAATAAGAACTAAGTAACCTCAAACTAAAGCGCACTAACACGGCTCAACCTAACTCACCGTTACTCTTAAATGTTACCTAAGCTCATGTTCTTCAAGGTCTAAAATTACTCAAGACATGGGTTCAAATCGAAACTTAATTAAAAGTAACTTTAAAATAAAACAGAATTTTAAACAAGCTTTCTCAATCTATTTGCTAACTTTGAAAATTACAAAACTCACTCCACACTATTCAAAAAATTCCGAAACCTCCCAGATATCAACTAATATATCCTAAGTTTCAAACCCAATTGGTTTCACTTGATTTGCTTATCAAAATAATTATTTACAATTAATTATGCCCAAACAGGTTGTTTTCTGCGGCACTTTAAATAAATTAATGGTTCTCTTAGTATACGGGAGCAATCAACACAAGGCCAAAAATGTAAGAAACTAGACTCGTAACTGGTTCTAATGACGCTGATTTGATAAATTTTCAAATTTATACCCAAAGAGAACAACACTCCCGAATTTACTATTTAAACCAGTTTTTTGGACAGATTTGAACGCATCAGTTTATATGGATTTTGACTCCAAAAAATTATGAAAAAATTCAGATATGCAATTCAATATGTAATTGATCTACTGTAAAAATTTCAGATTAAAATTTATCCGTTTACTATGGTTTCTTGATTTTTAAAATTTGTGACTCTATACAAAATTTTTAGACTACAATCTACACCCTCTACGTTGCACTCTCACAATCCGACCCATTACCACCCAAACACACCGTCAGCCCTTCACCTTACCAAGGCCATACATGCTAGCCTCCAAATAACCTCTGCACACAAGCCATACACTATACCCAAAACAGTACTCAAGAATACCCAAAACAGTGGCACATCACAATGAAGAAAGAAGGGGAAAAAAATGTAAAAGAAGAGACAAAACAATTAAAACATTAGTCTACCTTGAAGAATTTGCTTTAGATTCAGATGATTCCTAGAGACAACCCAACGTAGCTTCTCTTCTCCTCTCTCCTTTCTTTCTCTCACGGCTGCTATGTGTTGAAAGTTTTGTGGGTAAAAAAATTATAATAAGGGTTAGGGCTTTTGTTAGGAAAACTAGGGCTTTTTTTTTTTTATTTATCTAAACAAAAGATTTTAAATTATTATCTCTTTATATTATTTTAAATTTCTAAATAATAAATTTTGCCTCTAAATTAAAGACTTTCACCATAAATTTATTTTAGGTTTTAAAATTAATTAAAAGACCCTCCAAATATTTAATTTGCACCTTAAGATTCACCATCAAAATATTTGAGGTTTGTAAAATAATTATTATTTAATTATTTATTTGATTTATATATTTGGGTTCTCACAACAACACTCTGCAAGTATGCCTTCACATTGTCCACGGAAGACCCCGCATTCATATCATAAAATCTCTCGGATTTATCTTGATAGCAACTTGCCAATCTTTGTGTTTGAGGTCTTCTACATACATTACCTGTTCTACTTGAGAACCCAACACAAAGGCTCAGCATCTTTCATTAATCGTGCAAAGTTAACTAGTGTGCAATCTTTATCTTGTCTTTTCCCTGATTGTGACACCCATTCACCTTTAAATAATACGACCCTCTTCCCAAACAAATAATCTAACTCAATTATATCTGTTAACACACCATAAAATGTAACATCTCCAGAGACATGATTTCTATCTCTACCACTTGCAAAGCTTTGTGTTTTTGCTGCAACAATGATCCCACTATTTTG